TCAGCTGCAAACAAAAAAAAAACACACCTTCTACTTGGGATACCTCAGCGACCTCTCCAAGTCCAAAGCCTCTACCTGGAAACTTAGATGACTCCACAGCACGCAAAGATTAACTAGCGTTCAATCCTGAGTTCAAAGTGTAGTTTGTTAAAGTACATTTAGATGGATCCTAGTGCGTTTCTTAAATTAAAAAAATAAATAAATAAAGACCTCTTTCTCTCCAACTGAACACCACTTTCTCTGGTGGTGAAAGCAGGGGGGAGGGGGGCGGTGCCAGACACCTCGGGAGGTCCCGCTTAGGGCTCAGGTTCTGCAAGTCATGAGTCCGTGTAGAATATTTGTGATCAGCATCTGCATACTGCCTTGTCTATTTTTTTTTCATTTAAATTTTTTTCATGCACGTAGTGCCGTGTATCGCAAGATCTTGTACTTTTTATGATTTTTTGGGGGGTACTTCTCATTTTAAATTCATTCTCTGAGAAGGACATGGAGACACAAGGTGGCCTACCTTATCATTTCCGGGTGGGTGGGTATTTGAGTTCCTCCCTTGGCATCGTCCTCGCATTTGCTCGCCCCACCTAACACGTGCTGGTTGAGTTCCTGGCTCTGGGAGTGTGCCTGCTGTCTGTCCCCCCCCTCTTCCCAGGCTTTGCTCTCACCTCTCTATCTTAGCTGTTTCTTTCATGGCATTTTTGGCAACGTGAAATTTCCTTGTATATTTTGCCATTATGTATTTGTTTGCTCTTGTCTCTCTTCCCCGTAGACAGTAAGCTCCAGCAGAGAAAAGATGGTGTCTTTTTTTCATCTGGGTATGCCCATCTGCCGGGTACGATATCCGGCACATAGAAAGAGCAATGACTACTTCTAGAACCAGTTAATGCATGAAAAAGAGAATGAGTGAATGAATGAATCGATGAAAGGCATGAATCCAGCCTCGAAGGGTTTACAGTCCCACAAGGGGCATAAAATGTCCACAAATAAGCACAGAATTAGGTAAAAGGAGTCAGAGGTGATTTCCAATAAAGGGCACCAATCAGAAAAGCACCCCAGACTTCCCACAGCTGCTGGACACACCTGGGTACTCACTACTTCTTTTTCTTTTTTTTTTAAAGATTTTATTTATTTATTTGAGAGAGAAAGAGAGAGACAGAGAGAGCAGGAGGAGGGGCAGAGGGAGAAGCAGACTCCTTGCTGAGAGGGAAGCCCCACTGACGGGGGTCTCGATCCCAGGACCCCAGGATCATGACCTGAGCCGAAGGCAGCCACCCAACCGACTGAGCCACCCAGGTGCCCCTCACTACTTCTTTATCCATGGGACTGTCTCCCTGGGGAATAATCCCCAAAGTGGAAATTAATAGGTCCAGTTATGGAGGCTGTTATGCACTTGTAGATGGTTCAGAGATTCTCAGCCAGGGTAAACAACACCCTTATCAACCCACAGGAGTGCCTACCCCTATGCTACCCCCCACCCCCAAGCCCTCCAAGGCCCTTCCTCCCTGCTTGAGCCCTGTGGCAAACCCAAGGGTCCAAAGAGATAAAGGAAGTGAAAACATGATGCACACTGAAACGTGCAATTCACATGTGAAGGATGATGTGATTTGGTTCATTAAATTGGGTTACATCGGGTTGTTTTTTCTGCAGCTTTTCTTGGTGTCCGTGGACCTCATTCTGGGGTGAAGCTCCTTCCGTTCAATTCCCCCCAGCTTCACTGAACATCTGAGCGGGGATTTGACCCTCCTCTGCTAGCTTTGTGCTGAGGAAAGTTCTGTCCGTGCCCAACAGCGCCACTGTCTTTCCCGGATGAGGGTTCTAAAGAGTTCCATGTGGTGGGAAGATGGGGGCCTTGGACAGCTATCACTTAGGAGCCAAGAGACTGTGGGCAAACTACTTTATTTCTTTGAGTCTGAGTGTCCTCCTCTGAAATGGGCCTCCCACCCCAATCAGCCAGGACGGAGCCTCGCACGTGGTGGGCACTCAGAAATGTTGATCTCCTTCCCCACCTTCCCTGACGAAGCCTTTGGGAACCCCCACATAACATTCTCTAGAGACCTTGACCCAGTGCTGGATGATTGACGTGGTGCTCGGACTCCTGCTGGAAGCAAAGGGGAGGCGGAGTTACATCCCAGGGGTAATCCCAGCCTCGGGCCTCAGGGAAGACAGCACAGAGTTCGTGGTGGGAAATGTAGGCCTCAAGTGACCAAGGTGGGGGAAGTGGGAAGAAGGGTTACCAGTCTCTCTGAGGCGGGCCCTAAGGCGGTGGTAAGTATGACTCCAAAATAAGTTGGCCCCAAACCCCGCGGATTGAACCTCAGAGGGGTTCCTGAAGCCTGAAAGAGGCCACTTTCTGATCAAGAACAGATCCATGAGCTTCCATAATAGGTACAGAAAACCCCAGATTTCAAATCTGAAAATATGAAGGGCTTCCAAACACACTGAATTTCATGGATTCCAAGATGATGGGCAATTCATCTCGAGTCTTTTGAGGCTGACCCCAGAGATGCTAATCACAGCCTCTTCCTACCGGCCACCATACGGAGGCCATGGTTTGACAATCTCTGAACCTGGAGAAGCCAGGGGTCTGGCCCTTTGGTGCCCCAAGAAAGGGTGGATGACTCCCCAGCACCAGAGGGAAAATCCCAAGTCTACCTCCACACCCTTCCATTCTTGCTGCCACCATGGTAACCCTAAAGGGGTATCCTCAGGGACCTCCAGAGTCCTGTGAGCCGATCTAGTTCTGGGGTCAATGGAAGTGGGTTTGGTGAGAAGAGAAGAGCCCCTCCCCTGATCTGGCCAGTTCCATCTGTTCTTGGCAGTACCCTGCCTGTGGGGAACCTCAGCCACACTTTCCCTGTGCTCACCTTGTGTGGTTCTCAAGCAGTCCCCAACTTGGGCTCCTGTACCCTCAATCCTAGGGGAGGCCTGACGCTTCACCCGTGGTCCACAGTTCACCTACAAGTCCCCCCACCATGAGCTAGAAACTGGTCATGAAGGGTTCCACATCAGTCCTCCTCCACAGGGTGGAAAGAGGGGGGCGGGGAGGTAGAAGGCTGTGTGGGCCTCAGAGAGCTTCCTCCATCTTGCTCCTGGCCCCTCCTCTGTGGTAGAGCTGCAGGGAAGAGAGGAAAGTCTTCCCCACGCTCCCCTTTTCCTCAGGCCTCCATCTTTAATGATAGCCCACTCTGATCCTCCCTCAGCCCTCCCTGGGGAACAGCTCCATGCGTCCAGTGCCTTCCCCAACAGCTGGTGAATCAGGGCACAGTTGGGCAATGATTCCAGAATGATGGGAGAAAAGGAAGCTGTATCCTAAAAGTGGGAGGTGGCAAGACACCAGTACTCCTGTCCTGGACCACGAGGGTGTGACTTTTCAACGTTGGTTGTCAACACCATAACCAATGACCTCTAGAAGGGTTTGCTGGTTCATTTGTTTGTTTTCCCACAGGGCAAGTGCTAAATGTTCTTAGACTCAAGGGGTGGAAGGTTTACACGGAGGGGAATGTGTTCTTTCCTGCTCTTAGCCCTGGGGGTGATCTGTTGCTGGTGGCCTGCAGATGCCACAATGTCCCCAAGCCTGGGCACCAGGAGGCTGGAGGGCGGCTGTCCTACCCAAGCCTTCCCGGCCCCCGCCTTGCAGGGCTACCTGATCTCCGACGTGCACCCTGTGTCTCTGGGCCAGTCTCGCCTCGGAAATGAGGAACAAAAGTCTGCCTCGTAGGGGAGGACAAAATGAGGCAAAGGGACCCTCGTGATGAGGGGGCAACACAAAATCCCTGTGTTGAGGGGGATTTAGAAGATGAAATGACCGAGTGGCCCACCCACTCTGCTCGGGAGAAAGAGTCTGGGATGATCAACAGGGGAAGAGCAGGGTTTTGGAGGTCAGCTTCAGCCGAGGTAGCTGGCGCGAGCAAGCCTCTCTGAGCCTCGGTCAGCTCCTCTGTAAAATGGGGAGGTAATAATACCGCCTTCACGAGATGGTTGTGGGGGTCAAACGTGTCACAACGTGACGAGCTCTGTACGAATATTTAAAGGGGAAGAAAGACTGGGAGGACACTAGGGTGACTGGAGAGAGCATCTGTGGGGGTGCTGTACCCGGAGTTCCAGCGCTGGGGACGAGACCCAAGCCCTCAAGGCCTCTTCCAATCTTGAGATCGTCTGGCGGTGCCTGGGCTTGGGGGGCGGGGGAAGCACTTGGGGCCTGGGTCTGTTCACTTCTCTCCTTGGTTTGCATCTCTGTAGCAGGTCCGAGGAGCAGGGGGGATGCCTCCAGGTTTGGTCCTTTGCCCCAGCCACCTGGGGGCGCCCCCACGTCAGGGAAAAGGGGGGGGAGTTGGTGGGGAGTGGACAGTGTGGGGCTGGGGCCCCCTGGAGGTCGGCGTTCAGCACCAGCTGCCTCAGGCCCGACCAGGTGGTGGGATGGCAGGAAAGAGTGGGGGATGGTGACCGCAGCAGAAGTGGAATCTGGGGCTGAATTGTGCCCAGAAACCTCAGGATCCATGGCTGTTCTGGGCTCCCTTTCCCCAGACACACATTCTCTCTGGTGGACAGAGGGGAGCCGTGCGGGGCGAAGGGTCGGGAACAGAGGGCGAGGAAAGGTGGCGCGGCCCTCCCAGCACAGCCGACCTGACACAGCCCCGCTTTTGGGGACCGGTTTGGGTCCTCCTCACCTGGGCGGACCACCCCATGACGGTACCTGAGCAGAGCGCGCCTGCCACCTCCCCCTTGAAATGAGGACCGATTGGGTGGTCTCTCAAGCTGAGACCCTGTGTGCAGGGCCGGTGACATCAGAGAGGGGAAGATGGCAGGGAAGGCCTGGGGGACATGACCCCAAGAAGAGCGGGAACAGGACAGGAGGGAGGAGGCTCTAAATTATCCATCAGTACAGACCGGCCAGTGGCCCGATGCATAAATGTATAGAGAAAATAGGGGGGGCGGAGGGGGAGAGAGAGAAGGGACCAGGGTATAAAAAGGGCCCACGAGGGACCAATTCCAGGATCCCAGCACCCAGCTCCCCAAAGTGCTCAAGGTCCTGTGGACAGCTCACCCGGCTGCGATGGCTGTAGGTAAGTCCCCTCGGGCTGGGCGAGGCGGGGGCCCTGCCAATGGATGGGGGCGCTAAGCCTGGGCTCTGGGGCTGCTGCAGGGGAGCACAGAGGTCTGTGCCCGGACGTTTGGCCAAGCGTTACATGTTCTCAGTCCTGGGGCGGGGGCAGGGGAAGGGCTGGAAAGAAACAGGCCTCTCTCCGTCTGGGCCCCAGCCTTGCCCTCTATGTCCCTGTGTGTCCCTGTGTGTCCCCGTGTAGGCCCTCAGAACTCTGTGCTCCTGGCCTTCACCCTGCTCTGCCTGCCCTGGCCTCAGGAGGTGGGCGCCTTCCCGGCCATGCCCTTGTCCAGCCTGTTTGCCAACGCCGTGCTCCGGGCCCAGCACCTGCACCAGCTGGCCGCCGACACCTACAAAGAGTTTGTAAGCGTCCCAGGAATGGGTGCTGGGGGGGGATGCAGGAAGGGGTGAGGAGTTCAGGGTGATTTCATCAAAGCGAAGAGGCTGTCTGCTGAGCACAGCCTGAGGGGGCTTCCGAGTCAAGCAGTGGGGCGGCCCTGGGCGGGTGTCCTTGCTGCAGGAGCGTGCGTACATCCCCGAGGGCCAGAGGTATTCCATCCAGAATGTGCAGGCCGCCTTCTGCTTCTCGGAGACCATCCCGGCCCCCACGGGCAAGGACGAGGCCCAGCAGAGATCCGTGAGTAGGCCAGGGCGGGCCGGCCCAGGGGCAGGGGCCTCCCTCCTTCCAAGAAGGCGGCCCCTCCTCTCCACAGGAGTCGGGCCCCTGGGGCGGGAGGGGGCGCAGGGTAGCAGGGTGGCAGCGGGAGGCCCCCGGGCCCCCAGGCCGAGGCCGGCGCGCCCACCGCCCCCTCCGCCCGCAGGACGTGGAGCTGCTCCGCTTCTCGCTGCTGCTCATCCAGTCGTGGCTCGGGCCCGTGCAGTTCCTCAGCAGGGTCTTCACCAACAGCCTGGTGTTTGGCACCTCGGACCGAGTCTACGAGAAGCTGAAGGACCTGGAGGAAGGCATCCAAGCGCTGATGCGGGTGGGGATGGCGCCCTGGGTCCCCTCCTGGGGGGCCGTGCCCGCCCTCTGCTGGGCCTGGTGGCCCCGCTGGCTCAGACGAGGGGTGGGGGACTTCCAGGGGCGACGGTGCCCCTTCCTTTATAGTAAGCAGTCAGGCCTTGACCCCTGAGAGCGCTTCCTCGGTCCCCCCACCCCCTGTGAATCCTCCGTTCCCTTCCCTGAGCCCGGAGGGGAGGGCCGCACCCGGAGGGACCGGGAGGAGCAGCGGCCGAGGCCTGGGTCTCTCTCTCCCTCCCCGCCTTTTGCAGGAGCTGGAAGACGGCAGCCCCCGGGCCGGGCAGATCCTGAAGCAAACGTACGACAAGTTTGACACAAACCTGCGCAGTGACGACGCGCTGCTCAAGAACTACGGGCTGCTCTCCTGCTTCAAGAAGGACCTGCACAAGGCCGAGACGTACCTGCGGGTCATGAAGTGCCGCCGCTTCGTGGAAAGCAGCTGTGCCTTTTAGTGGCCGGGCCTCCCTTTCACCCCCTTCCCTGAGCCTCCCCTCACCCTGGAAAGGGCCACTCCCGTGTCCACTGTGCTTTCCTAATAAAATAAAGTTGCATCACACCATCTGAGTAGGTGTCATGCTGTTATGCGGGGCAAGGGCCAGGCTGGGAAGACCACCGCGGGCATCCCGTGGGATCTGCTGGGAAGGGTAACTGACACGATTCTTCCTGGGCTAGAAAGAAACGGACACACTCACTGCTGTCTGTCGCACATCAAGTCCCCTGCCCAGGCCCCGGGTCGCAGCTCTCTGGGCAGCCGTAGGTCAGGCGCACCCCCATAAAGTCTCTGGAGGTGTTCCTTCCTCCCCCATGGGCCCCACAACACCAAATCTAGCCCCCAAGAGCGGGAAGAAGTGGAAAGCAAGACAAGCTAGTAAGTACAGAAGCAAAATGCCCCAACATGGGAGAAAACAATGAGAGAGATCAGAATTACTTTTGTGCAGAAAGTACACATTAGACGCGCCTACTTTTGGAAAACAGGAACGATGCAAAAGGCTTTGGGACAAACAGACCCAGAATATTGGGGATCTGAACGGTCGCAAGGGAAGTGGAGGAAAGACACTAAATCGGGGTTGCAAATTCAGCACCAGCAGGTGCCAGGTAGATAATTAGGAAAGTAAGGAGGGCTGGGCGTGAAGGGATAAGTCCTGACTGACACTCCGCTTCCTCATCCGGGGTACAACACCGAACATGGGGACCAGAGCAACCTGGAGAACTCAGGCCTTGGCGCCATTCAGGACCACAGGGCAGGGCTTCCAAACCTCCTGATTTTTAAGACACGCAGGACATCCAGACTTTCACGTGAAATCTGATTTTTAAACATTGGTGACTAATTCACATTGAAAACATTTTAAAAAATATTTTACTTCTTTATTTATTTTAGAGAGAGAGCGAGAGTGGGGGAAGGAGCACAGAGAGAGACAGGATGGGGGAAAGATCTCAAGCGGACTGGGCACTGAGCCCGAAGCCTGACGCGGGGCTCGATCTCACGACCCTGAGATCATGACCTGAGCCGAAACTAAGAGTTGGACGCTTAACCGAATGAGCCACCTAGGCGCGCCCATATCGCAAACATTTTTAAGGTCAAAAATGAACCCAAACGCATTTGCTCTTCGAGTTGTCAGTGAGTGATTTGTTCTAAGGGCAGTGGATTGGAATAACTTGTGAGGGAAAGAATCAGAAATATTTGGACTTGAATTTAGGCTCATGAGTAGATTACTTAACCTCTCCGGGACCCAGTTTCCTCACCCATAAAATGAGATGATAACATATCGCCTTGCAAGGCTAATGTCAGGATTAGATAAAATGGTGTTTCCGAGGTGTTTGACACATTACAGCCCTCAAGAAATTGCAGCTCTTTTGCACTGAATTTTGGAGCGTCCTGTGTTTTCTGATGGAATGTTTAAATATTTGTTATTAAATCAAATTCTGTTTTGCTAATCGCTTCTCAATTGTTTCTTTCTTATTTCCACATAAACTTACAAGGGCAGTGGTTAACACTGTAGAATGAAGTCTTTGGTCACCCAAGCACCTTCGCTAAGTAGTGACCTATAAATCAATACTTAGATGCTCAGAGTAACTCTATTATCCAAACATGATTTTACAAAATCAATGATTCTTTTATAACACAAAAGTCAGTGTCCTAATTAATCTTGAAAAGTTCAAATTTGTATATGCTATGATGAATTTTCTTTAAAACAAGACCCACCTGTATTCATTTTGGATACTTGACATTTAGTAAGTTCTTGGGGAGTGGTTGAGAGCTGGGATAATCAGAACCCAGAGCTCCATTTCTTAGCTCAGAAACCATTCGCCTGCTGTAGATCATTCTTTTAGTGTCCGGCTTAAAATCACGGACTTTGGGGGTTAGAAGGGGCTCATGGGTCATCCTAATTCATTCTAATTTAGGAGTCTTACTCCATAGCATCGCCTAGAGATAGCACTCACTGTGTAGCACTAGTATGAGGGAGTTACTGTTTCGCAAGGCAGCTCGCTCTATTACACCGCTCTGGTTTCAGAGAAGTATTTCTTACATTAAGCTGAAAAGCAATATTCCTGTATTATCCCTCATTGGATCTTAGAATTATTTGGAAAGCTCATATTCTTCAGAAGTTGAGGTAATGAGCATAAATAGAAGGATCTCTTAGCTTGGATAAGTGTTTTAGAAGGAAACGTGACCATTCTTTAAAAAGTACGGTGTTTGTTGAATGAATGTGGCAGAAGAGTGCCTTCGGAGCGGTGTTAACAGCTGCTAGGGAGAGGGTTCTACAGTGGGCTTGTCATGACAGCAGTAGACTGCAGGGGGAGCCACAGGCCAGGGAGCATCCGCTCAGCTCCTTCTGGGTTTAGCAGAATCCACTCCACCAAAGCTTGTTGAGAAATTCAAAGATACTGGTTGATTTTGCAAAATTTTAGAATTTAAAAAGACCTTAAAGACCATCTCCCCTAAACTTTTTGATTTGACCAATGTTATTCTGTCTTTCAGCTTTTCAATTAAGCAGTGGAGACCACGCTCCATTGCAAATTAGAAACACCTGAAATGTTTTCTAAACAACTCTGGCAGTAGCCTCCACTCTCTGCAGTTCTGATTTAATTGGTCTGGAAGGGATCCAGGAAGGAGTCATTTTAAAAACTCCCCAGGTGAGTCTAATGTACAAACAAAGTTGAGAACCAGTAAGTTAGGGACCACAAAGATGAGATATCCGGGTCCACCGGTGATGAAGACCTGGGTCAGTTGTGGCTCTGTCTGTTTCTAATTCTAAACAGTCCTCTAAAAATGTTCTAATAAGCCAGTAACAAAAGACAAGTATTGTATGATTTCTCTCTATGAGGTACTTAGCATAGTTAAATTTATGAAGACAAAAAGTGGAATGGTTGGTTACGAGGGCTGGGGGAAGAGGGAATGAGTTGTTGTTGAATGGGTGGAATATCAGTTTTGCAAAATGAAGAGTTCTGGAGACTGGTTGCACAGTGTGAATGTACTTGACACTACTGAACTGTACACTTAAAATGGTTAAGATGGGGGGTGCCTGTCTGGCTCAGTTGGTAGAACATGTGACTCTTGATCTCGGGGTTGTGAGTTTGAGGCCCATGTTGGGTGTAGAGATTATTTAAAAATAAAATGCTTTTTTAAAAAATGATTAAGATGGTAAATTTTATGTTATGTATATTTTACCACAACTTTAAAAATTTTTTTAAATTTCTAATGAAAAATCTTCCCAAAGGTGAGATTGGTGAGATTTGCCGAAGAAAGAGTTCAATAGCCAGAGCTCAAGGAATCTTGAACCCCCCTGGAATAACGTTTTTCGGACTCCATGTAATCTTTTAAATTTACTCTAACCTAAAATGACCTAAATTTACTCTAATCCGAATTTCTGTGAAAATTAATAAAAAGAAACCTAGTTTAGAATGGAGTGGGGAGGCCAGCAGGGGGAGCTCTCATGCCCTGCCACTTGGCGATTGCAGACCCAACAGGAAGAGATGGACCTTGCAGATACCACTTTACTATCAGGCAACTAGAGGCAAGACTTTCCTCCGCCCCAGCAACAGCCCAGCCAATGAGAGACACTCACAACTCAGCCAATGAGAAGCCCCGATACTTCCAACTCCCACTTTACTCCAATGGACTTTTTGTTTACAACAGTCTTCCCAACGTCCCCCCTTCCTCTATAGAAAAGGAGTCCTCTCCTTCGCCCTGCGGACTTGCCTATGGTTTTGGGGTAGCGTAGTTCCCCTAAATTGTGATTCTTCGTTATTCCCATATAAGCGCGTTTTTGCTGGTAAAATAACTGGCATTTTGTTTTTAAGGTTAACCTTAGTGATCATGAGTGGGATGCAGAGAAGCGCCCCAACAATTCTGGGGCTGAGGAGCAAACACGCGCTGGTACCCGCAGAGCCAGCCGGGCGCACTGACTCCTCCAGGACCTTGGCGTTGAGGGTAAGTTTTCTCCTGGACTTTGAGCTCTGCTCTGTGTTTGAGCTCTCCAGTCTTTATTCCGGATGTGTTTTCAGATCTCGTTTTTTTCTGAGAGTGTTCGCTTGGCCTTCCGTCTGACTCTTGTTCTGAACCGAACTGTTCCTTTTGGATTGGGCTGCCCTTCGGTCTGACTCCCATTTGGAACCAGACTGCTCCTGGTGGAACTGGGGCTGTTGAAAGTGTGTTGGCCTTTGGTGTGGCAGAAATCAGACTCACCACAGCAGAGTCGTATCGTTTGTTCCTCTTGGCCCAGCTACCATCCTCTTTATGAGCAACATCTGCAGGTGATACTGGCCGAATCCACAGTGCACCTCCCAGCAGGATTCAAATAGATCCCTCAAAATCTCTTCTCAGAATGAATCAGTACCGTATAAAGAAGCCCTTCAAGGCATCAAGGCTATAATAGAAGATTGCAAGGCTCGGAGCCTCATTATTCCCTGCACTCGTGCCTATAATACCACTGTTTTACCGGTGAGGAAGCCCCAGTAGCTCCTCAGCTCACAACTCAGGATGGGGGTTTGTCCCCGACCTCTGAGCAATAACAACATTGTTATCCCTTGGCACCTGTTGTTCCTAAGCCCCATATGCTACGGACATCCAGTCCCACTGAAGGCAATTTTTTTTTTTTAAAGATTTTATTTATTTGACAGAGAGAGAGTACAGATAGGCAGAGCGGGGCGGGGCGGGCAGAGGGAGAAGGAGAAACAGGCTCTCCGCAGAGCAGGAAGCCGACGCAGGTCTCGATCCCAGGACCCTGGGATCATGACCTGAGCCGAAGGCAGCCGCTTAACCGACTGAGCCACCCAGGCGCCCCTGAAGGCAAATTTTTCACTGTATTTGATCTATGCAGTGCATTTTTACCATCCCGTTTGATAAAGATAGTGTCTTTTTGTTTTCACTTGGGAAGAATGGAAATGCACCTGGACAGTAAGCTCCAGGGTTGCATACACAGTCCTTTTTACTTTTCACCAACCTTAAAAGCTGATTTGGGTGATAGAAAGTTTTCTGCAGGCTCTATTTTGTTACAATTTGTATATGATTTACTTCTCTGCTCCCTTTCTCAAACCCCTTCACAGGAGACAGCATCCACCTGTTAAATTTTGGCCTTAAAGGGACATAAGGTCTCCAAAAAAAAAAAAAAAAAAAAGCCATTTGCTCAAACTGAGATGCGATACTTAGGGCATCTAATCTTGAAACAAGGACTACATTTAGACCCAGACAAAACCCCTCACGACTGCTTAACACTGACAGATTACCTTTTGACCCTCCCCCATGGAAATATACAGGAAACACCTCTAACCAATGCAGATTTTTCATGCTTTACTGATGTTTCTTTTTTTTTTTTTTTTAAAGATTTATTTATTTCAGAGAGAGAAAGTACACGTGAGCACAAGTTGGGGGGAGGGCAGGGGCAGAGAGAGAGGGAGAGAAGGTCCCAAGTAGACTCCATGCTAAGTGCAGAGCCCGATGTGGGGCTCGATCCCACGACACCAAGATCGTGACCCGAGCTGAAATCATGAGTCAGACGCCACCCAGATGCCCCTTACTGATGGTTCTTATTTAAAGGATGGTAAATATTGTGCTGGGTATGCTATAGCAACTCCTTTTGAAGTCGTTGAGACAGGAGCTTTACCTTTATAATTCAGCCTTACTCCAGCTTGTAACTTAGCTGAGGATAAAATCGTTACCATTTACACTGATAGGTGGTATGCTTTGGGGGTAGCTCATGACTTTGGAATGTTATGGAAACAGCAAGGTGTCTTTACCTCCAATGGGAATAAAATTAAAAATGGCTTCTATGTCCAAAAATTTTTAGATGCCATACTTTGCTGGCTGCTCTGGCTATTACTAAGGGTCCTGGGCATTCTAGACTCAACTCCCTGGAGGCCAAAGTAAACCACTTCACTTATATTTTTGCCAGAAACAGTGCTCCCAAGGAAACAAAAAGCTAAACCTCTGTCATGTTCCAAAGTGATGTTCTCCCAAATGATAACTTGGAAAAATTGACCAGAGATACCGAGCAATTGGCCCCAGAGAGGGAAAAACACTATTGGAAATCTAGTAATTGTTGACTCAATAAAAAGGGGGACTTCTGGTTTGGACCAAATAACAATCCAGCCCTACCAGAAATTCTAAATTTTCCATTCCTTAGCGCTGTACATGCATTAAACATTGGTCCACTGAGAAATAATAGCATTCACGCACCAATATTGGTGGGGAAATATCAACAAGGTCACAAAAAGTACCTTCCTCTCTTGTCCCACCTGTCTAAAGTATAATCCAGGGAAACCTGTTTGTACAAATGGATTTGATACAGCTTCCCCTTCTCGTGGATATAAATGTTTTAGCCATGGTTTGTATGTTTCTCACTGGCACGATGCTTTCTCTTGTAGACAGGCCAATGCTTCTTCTGTGGCTAAAATTCCATTAGAAAAAGATATCCCTACCTGGGGAACCGCTCTCATACTGCATAGTGATCAGAGAACCCATTTTGCCATTTGCTGGTTTCACAGCACTTTTCATTGTGCATACCATCCTGAGTTCTCAGGGTTCGTTGAACAGACTAATGGCACTGTTAAGACTCAGTTGGCAAAATTTTAAGAAATCCTTCAAATACACTGGCCAAAAGCACTGCCGTTAGTCCTAAATCTCAGATCTACCCTGGAACTCGTAGACTCTCACCGTTTGAGGTAGTCCCGGGACGTCCGATACCCTTGGCCCCTGCCTCCGCTGACCCCCAGTTGACAAAAGAAGATACACTTCAGTATTGCAAGGGCCTCACTGCTTCGTTAAAATAACCATGGTTTGGTACAGCTGTCTTTTCATGGTCCATTCCTGGGAGAATGGCCTCACACCTTGCAACCTAGAGATTTATTTCATCTGTTGGAAAAGACACCTCCGGAAAGGCTCTCTTCAACCTCGCTGGAGAAGACTTTATCAGGAACTTCCAAACAACCCTTATGCCACCAAACTCCAGAGCATAGCCTCTTGAATTCACGTGACACATCTAAAGAAAGCACCAAACCCTGACTGGACCTGCATGCCCTCTGGTGACCTGAAGGTAAGATTGCCCAGAATTGAAGCAGGTGGCATCTGATGGGACCACTTTTCCAAGATGTCAGGGCAGGCCTGTAGACGTTTTTCTCACTGTTGCTTCTTTTTTGTGTGTGTGGAAAGATGATGCCCTTGTCTGCATTTTCTAAGTCCGTGCGAAAGGGGGAAACCTCTTTTGATTATGGGCTTTTGGAAACAGCCTCATGATGATCCCAGCACAAATTAATCTTACGCTTGTTTTTTCTGAAGGATTAGAAGGTTCAGAATTCACAAAGGCTTCTTTCATCTGAACTGTTAACTGAATTTAGACTCTTAGCCAAATTCATGGTCTCTGAACTTCATGGTCTTTGCAACCTTAGAGGCTGTATTATCAATAACACGTTTGTTTCAAACAGTTCTTTTGAGATAACAATACTGTTTTTAAACAGCTTTCAAAGTTTGCTGTTTTGCAAAAAGTTCATCAGCTGTTGCTCCATGCTTCTACCTGCACTGTCTCTTCCCCACTGCACTGGGTTAATTCTCTCCGTGTGCTCTTGCAGAATCCACGATTCCTCTTTCATGGTTGCTTTAGGTGGAGACTTTGCCTTCACAGGGAGAACCTTTCTCCCCTAGGTCTGAATAAGTGCAAATAAATTTCTCAGTTAGCTACTTTCAGACCTAGAGTCCTGGTTTAGAACCATCATATGATGTGGAATTGTTAATGTTACTTTTTCTGTTTTGTATCATTATTTTGAGTTTTGTATTTTGTTGCCTATCAGACTTTTAAAAGCAATGTACCCAATAAGGTGATGCTGGCTCAACCCTTGGGGATGATCTCCAGTGCTTACAGTCTTGATAAATCTGGATGACAGGTGGGAAGTACCTGAGAGCTCTCCCTCTGAACCTTCCTTGTTACTCAAATGTGGCTTGAGTGGTTTCCAACTGCTAGGCACTTTCCCGCCAACTTAGAACATGACAACCGGGAAGGCCCTTCGTGGTACTGAGGAACAAAACCATGAAATGTGGAGAACCTGACTCTTGATCAGTGATGCTTTCAAAGAAAGATCTTGATCAGAAAGGGGAAATGTGAAAACTAATCAAAGAAAATCTTGTTTAGAAAGGAACTGGGAGACCGGCAGGGGGAGCGCTCATACCCTACCACCTGACGATGGCAGACCCAACAGGAGACAGACCGTGCACCTGGATATTGCTTTACCAACCGCTGAGGAAGAAAGGCTTTTCTCCTCCCCCAGCAACAGCCCAGCCAATGAGAAGCCACCATACTTCCAGCTCACACTTTACTCCAATGGGCCTTTTGTTTAGAACAGTCTTCCCAACGTCCCCCTTTCCTCCATAAAGTAACTGGTCCTCTCCTCTGTTCTACAGACTTGCCTAGGGTTTGGTACATGTAGCTTGCTTGTCCTGGATTGCAATTCTCTGCTGTTCTCCAATAAACCTATTTTTGCTGTTAATATAACTGGCAGTTTTATTTTTAAGGTGAACACTTACATCAGCATTGCTGAAACACATATATTGTTTTGATACTTTATACACATTTGAGAACAAAACTGACACTTTCCCCTTTCTTCACAAGTCCTCAGAATGACAGGACCTGGTCATCTGGGTCAAACAAACATGACACTTTGCCTCACAGCTTTAATTCAGGAGGCCCCAGCAAACATGAGAAATACTTCAACTGCTATCAAGATTAGGGTCATCAACTCCTCCCCATCTGCATGAGACTACTAATTTTAGCATCTCAGAACACCTCAGCTCAGTGCAAACTGGTACAACTGGTCATCCTACTAGTAGTCCTACATCGTAGGGCACAAAAAAGGGGAGAAGTAGAGAAAGGAAAAGGGAAAGGAATAGAAGAGAGAACACAATGGAAAAGAGAAAGGTGTCCGTGGTGTATGTGACTTTTGATGGCCCTCCATGGCTGCCATGGGTTTCTGACCCTTGCTTTGAGTTTATGATGATTACGGGTATGACTAGCACCAGCATTATTAGTGTAGTAAGAACTGATATTGTGTACACATGTACAACACCATGCTAGTGTCTTTTATAAGTACTATGTCATTTCTTTCCAACTATAATCCTGTAATAGGTAACTAGTATTATTATCCCTATAGTAAGAAGGCCCCACTGAAGAATTAACTTATTTTCTCTCAGGTCTATAAAGAAAGACACCAGAAAGTCAACTTGACTTTCTTAAGAGGATAAATTTATGGAGTATTAAAGGTAGCTCTCATTCCCTGAAGATAATCAGGGTAGCTGCAGTTAAGTGTGAGCTAATTGTTCAGAAAAAGAGTATATGCAAACCTTTTATGGGTGGGGCTCCCTGAAGACAAGGCAGCCACCCTCAGAAGAATGGGCAGAGACCAGCTTTATTATTCTGGAAAAGAGATGTAATGAGATCCTTTGTACTTTAAGAATTAACTAGGAGGGGCTGCCTGCCCCCTGGTTGTGTGGATCCCTGGGGAAGGAAAGAGAGGGAACAGATGTTCCAAGTCTACATAGGGAAAGGCCTACCAAAATCTGAAGAGCCTTACTAGACGGCTAATCTAAAGTAGTGAGGTCTGTAACCCTGGAAATTCATGCAAGGAATCACCCCTAGGTAGACCAAGCCCGAGGAAACGAATTATCCTCCCTGAAAGCTCCATGGCAGCGGACCCGGGAACCTGGATCAGGGGGAAGCACGAGGTTTTATGGCCTGTGTAGGACTGTCAACAGTGACACCAAGTGGCAGTGAGAAGCAAAGGCAGGAGCCTCTAGGCTCTCCCTGGCACCTCCACTGTGCCTCAGGGTATGAGGGCCTTGAGGTGAGGTTTGCTCTGTGGGGTAACTACAGACCTGATGCAGCTGATCCCAAGACACTGAAAATGGCTGGAGATTCCTGGATTAGGCTGCTCTGTACTCTTTTCTTTTAAACCCTCTTCCTTATTTCCCTAAGTGCTTAATTCAGAAAAGTGAGTAATTTTCTCACATGATGAGAGAGCAATGGCTATTGTATTTAGTGGAAAAATTGAGGCTGAGGTCATTTGATGCAAGGCAGGGGTGATGCTGTTCTGAAGATCAAACAAGGTATTTCAGTCTCCTCCCAGGAAGCCTCCCTTGATCCTGAGTTAGGCGTTTTCATAAGACCTGTGCTTTCCCTGTTATGGGAGTTAAGGTACAATTGTGATTTCCTGTTGACTTGCTCTGGATTCCCTCGTTGACTAGAAGCTTGTAGAAGGCAGGGACACTGTTTTGTTCACCGTTGTATTCCCTACTGCCTTGTATGTTTTGAAATCAAAGGGTTATTTTTATACCTGATCCATAACCCAGACTCAGGTTAAGGTCTGAAAAGAATGAGTTTTTTTCACTTTGATGCCTGATGCTGTATTCTTTCTTATAATGTCTACAATTTGGAAGGCTGCAGACCTCTATCTGGAGGTCTCAACTTTAGTTTTAAGGGCAGGTCACACAGGCTGCTGCCCTGAGCTAACACACCACCTGCCCTGGGCTAGTTGTTCGTGCTACCAGCTTAACATTCTTTTCTTAGAAACTGTACTCAAAATGCAACCACGTGGCTTAATAAGAGTTTTCCAAAATGACACAGAAGAGAAATACTTTCAGATATCGTAAAATCACTTTTATTTTTTTACTATATACAACATTTCAGTGACCCATACATGACTGATTTGGGAGAAAAGATCTGGTTTTATGACTCCTCATATCTTCTGTATGAGTGAATATATATTTTCCAAAGAACAGAGAAGGAAGCTGAATCATAAGATCTATGGTAAACACTGTCACAGGAGGAGTTGTTCTGAAGCTTAAAGGACATAGTTTGCAGACATATGAAAATAAATACTTCTTTATGGAAAGGGAGAATAAACACTGGAACTCTATCCTAAGAGCCTGCGTAGATTAAAAAATTAGTATGTCAAATGTGAACTCACAGATGATTACTTTATAGTTGATTATGAAAAGGAATTCATAGATGTTTGGAGCCCATAACCTATGAGGCCAGTTTAATGGAAGAACTCTAATGTCCACTTCAGGGACAGAACATGGGGTTAGGGAAGCTGCTTGTCTGACCCAATATGGAATTTATGACTTTTACACTCCTCCAAGGCACACAGTAGATGGTTAGTGAGTTGAAGCCTAACCACCCACGGACCCTTAATGGTGTTATCAAATTCAGCTCTGGGAGCAGGCACTCCAAAACCTCAGGTTAGGGGAGCAGGGGAATGTGTAGGCAGGAATAAGCTTCTGATTCCTATCTCTTTGGTATTCACTCCCTTTGAAGTCCTGTCTGTGGACTAAGAAACTGGTTCCCACCTACTCATAAGGAAACCAAGAGAAATGAGCTGCATTTCTGAGATATTTTCTTACTATCTCTTTAAGTCTGATGTTTGGGAGCAAAGGTAGGGATCTTTTTTGAGTCTAAGAGCGAGTGGACTGATTAAGCACACAGTGAGGAGCAAGAGGCCCTCTCATCAGCTGGACACTGTGAGTGAAATTCCTAGTGACTAGAGTGACTTCAGAGGAGCTGAGCTTGCGGATGGATGAGATACAAGGGACGCGGGGTCTGAAACACCTGTTTTATGGGACTGCAGAACACAAAGGGTAATGTCTCCTCCTTTCTCCTCCCCCCCCCTTTCCTCCCTTAGGAAACCCCAGTAGTAGAGGTTGCCTTCAACCAAATAGCTGTTTCCATTTAACAGTTATGTGCATTGCACTTTTCTGCTTGCTGAACAGCAAACTGGCTTTTCTCCTCTTTTGTTCTTCTCTTTCTGCCTATAGGGCAATTTCCGCCTCTCTATTTTGCAAGGCCGGTAATTCAGATACAGTGCTATGGTGATTACACCCACTCCAAGGGCGACAATAACGATGACGAAGATGGTGGAGCTGATTCCTTCATCCAGTCCTGCCCAAGCACAGAAGACAAAGTTCGGGAGGGTTCCAGGGCAGAGAGAGTCCCTGCCTCTCCCAGCCTACCACACCCACCTCTCAGTTTCACCCTCCCTCCGCCCA